TAATATGTATATATATGAATACTGTGCCATATTGAACAAATAAACGACCAATAAACATTGTTTATTAATGTGCATATCTGTTCAGTTCAATGAACAATGTTCAATAACAACTCTGCTGTATATTGACAAGTCTTCCATGAAATTCTTTTATATACAGTAATTAAAATGCCTTTTCGAAAGAGATGATTTACTTTTGATACTATTATGAGAATAACAATACATATCTGGTTCCCACTAAAAACTGCATTATTGTTTTAATTTGAAACAATTACGTATGTGCATGAAATTTTCTGAATTAAATTCAGAAACAGAAGATTCTTTCCTAAACAATTATTTCATTATGTCCGATATAATACGAGCTCTGGATATGGTTCATATTTGTTGCCGGTCAAAGAGAGAATTTATATATTTAATGCAAAAATTTTCTCTTAATGTCAGAACAACAAAAAGTCGCTTGATTATATTTTCAAAGTCCACGAAACTAATTATTTTCACGATGAGGCCTATGATCGAATTAATATGGATAAACTTCGTGGTCAGAGTTTATCTCTACACGAAGTCTCGAATTAATTTGACATGTATTAAATTATGGATCTGTTACAGAATTTTGCGTGAAGTCTTTCTTTTACTAGATGAAGAAATCATAGAATTTCGAAAACATGTCAATAAACTCGACAATCAACAAATCCACGATAATATCAAGATGCTTCTCTCTCACCCACAGAAATTCGTTGTGCCTTTTGATAAGGATTCCGATGAGAAGAACAATGTCCATGGCGAAAAAGGAGTTATTACATTGTCACCACCTGACATTATTTCAATTAATAACATTGCTTCAATGTCTTCAACATTAAAATCTTTCGAAAGAGATTTGATACGAATACAACGAGTCAGTCGCGTCCAAATTTTGAGTCTCCAGGGTTTATTGTCGCGAATTACTTTGCAGCTGTCACAAAATCACAAGGTTGAAAAGAAAATGGATAAAGGCAACGGTCTAAGTAGTCTACCGCCCAAAGAGGTTCCGACGGAAGTGTTTGGTGTTAAATTGAATTTTCAGCAAAATCTTGATGAAAAGAAAATCCAATTCTTCAGTTTTGATAATTCCCTCAATATTCCAAGTAATCACCAAACATTTCGACCTAAAAAAGTCACCATACTGAATGATACCGATACTCAAGATGACAGTAAAAATTGCATCTCTAATATTCAAGACGATGGCAATAACAACACCATCTCCCGACCTAAAATAATTCGTGTTATTCAGGACGAAAATAACAGTGTTTTCACTTTCCAATCTCAAAATCCCTCTAAAACTCAAAATAACGCAAGGCCAATCAGCAGTGTTCAAGAAAGTAATTGCCAACAAAAAGAAAATCTTAGTTTCCAAGACGGTAATCACGGTGTTACCTTTAGACTCAAAGAAATCTCGAGTATTCAAAGCGACAAATATCATGATTCTATCTTTCGATCTAAAAGAGATTCTATTATTCAGGATGGTAGTAATAGTTTACCTTTTCAGAGTAAAGCAACGAACAGTGTCAAAAATGACAGTAATAATGATCATACAATCCGGTGTGAAAAAGTGTCTAATAATCATGGGCATACCTTCCAGTCCAAGGAATTTTCTAATGTTGGATATAATAATTCTTCTTCTTTTCGGACCAATAAAATGTCGAGTATTCAGGATGATAACGATCGTAAGTCTACCTTCCGATCCAAGAAAGTCCCTAGTGTTCAAGGTGACAATGATTCCACCATCCTATCCAAAAAATACTCCAATATCCGAGGCAACAATAATCATGTTCCTGCCGTCCATTTTAAGAAAGTCTCTAACGTTCGAGTGAATCATAACAACTCTACGTTTCATAATTCTGGAATCGAAAAGCCTAACGAAATAAGGATAATGGAAGATAAAAAAGATCTTCTGCTAGAGAACATGCCATCTGATCTTTCATCAACAATGTTTACAGAGGATTACAGTCTTCGACAATACTATAAGAATAAATGCAAAGATCTGTCGAAAAGCTATTCAAATCTTGTTGAGGAGATTACAAGGAAATGGAGAACCGAGTTTGATATGATACTTTGGCCAAAGTTGGAAGCGGGAAGGAAAAAGGCGGAAGAAGATTGCCAAAAGTCAATTTCGATTTATGATGAGGTTATTTGATTCAAAAAAGATTATTATTATTTTATCATTATTATTATTATTATTAGGCTTTATATTCACTTCAATTTTTTTTTTTTTTTTTACAACTGAATTACAGGTCCATCACATGAAATGGAGGGCTGCTTTTAGAAGGAAAGGTGTATATGAGTTAATAAATTTTAATGAAGTGAGTATCAGAAAATAACTCTCATTTCTGATTAAATCTGACTGATTCGAAATTTACCTCTTTACTTCACTTTTTACAGTGTCTGCTTCTTCCCTTATTCGACACAATTACTGACCGTTGGTTTGAAAGTTTTGTTTTATTTCAAATGGAGCTTATCAAATATTTTAATGCACAGTATAAAATCCTCTTGGATACATTCCATGATCAGATAAAGAATAAATTTGAAAACTCATTTCCTGAAAAACATCAATTCTTCAAAAACATTCAAAGTGCAGCGGATGTATACTTCAAGAAGGAATCGAATAGAGAAATACTTGATAAAATTTTATATAAGGGCAATTCATTTCGTTTCAAAATGGAATCTGGTATCCAGAAAGCAATGGATCCAGCATATACAGGTAATTGAAATATCATCATTTATGTTGTATCTTCTGTTTGGTTATTAATTAATTTATTGCGGGCTTAATAGAAATGGATTCACATATGAAGTGGTGTGAATTAAAATCGCTATTCTCAAGATACATATACAAGAACAGGAAGAAAATTTTCGATTCGGCAATGAACGAGGCAAAGAATGTTGAACAAGAATTTTTCAAGGACTTCATTAAACCCGTTATTAGAAGAGGAGTTCGATTGTTGGTGGTGGTTCTGGGTGAACATGACTTCATTCGTGAAGTAGATGAAGTCAAGGTCGCCGCCTATGTGAAGACGGACAAAACCAAATTCGCTTAACTGAACTTTGGAGGTAGATGATGAAATTTGGGACAAAGTTTTAAAGCAGTGGGGTCGAGTAGATGATTAGACAGATACATCGTAGATAGTTTCGATTGCCGAATGTGCAGTAGAGAAACTTTTTATCAATGTTTAAAATAATTTCATCTATTTTTACATCATTCATTTATAATAATGTATTCAAATATTTATGAGCTAGATGTGAGAATATCGAAATAAATACAATTGCGCTTGATACTGTTTTTTTTTTTTTTTTTTTCGCTCAACTAAAAATATACTTTTAAATGTCACTTGACACTGATTACCTTTATGTCAAACCAAGTTTTCAGTCTGTAATAACATCCTTTACCAAATTTCATTTCTTTATGATTGAATTGGAAAATCAACGGACGTATAACCTAGTCGTCACAGTAAATTTTTCCAACTTGTTTTGACCGTATAAACCAAATACTGGGTATAGATGGTTACTATCTTGATACAACATCGTGGCGCCGTTACCTTTTTTTTTTCCCTCAGGAATATATCAAAGCTCTAACATGTTGTTCCTTTGATACTGGTTGTCTTGGCAGTCTCCAGAGTCCTATAAAAATTTAACACCTTTTCATCGGCCATTACTTTATCACGAGAAAAGTTTAACACTTGAAGATAATCCATAGTCCTCGCCCGCGAAAGAGCCACATACGCTTGCCCTGATCAGAAAGTCAATGAAAAGTCATCACAAAAAACTTTAAATGAACATCATAATCGAATTTATGTTATTAAGTTAACCTCTTTCAAATATCCGATCAAGATCGACTTTGACCCGTTCCAATGATTGACCTTGGCTTTTGTGAATACTTATCGCCCAAGCCAGTATTAGGGGGAGCTAATCAAGAAATATCATTAGCATCCTTCTATGAAAATTTTAAGATTCAACGGGTTACCTGTACACGTTTCGCCAATTCAACACTTTCCCCAGTTTTATCGTCAGTCGAATTTATTGTCCACGAGAGATACGGAATGGGTCTAATTAAGCC